TGAATTTATTGATTTGAATGTAAGGGATATTCTGATTGCTCCAATGTCATTTAGTCAGGAAAAAAAAATATGCACACTAGTGGTCTTTTTTTCTCCATTAGTCTAATTATAATGTTAACTTTCGTTACTGAGTGAAGTATCTTAGCCCATATTACAGAATCTAATTAACTGAATGTATATGTTAAAAGTCTTAAAGGAGCAAAATATGCTTTGCTGAACATGTCTCACTGTAGCTAGAGGCTACTAATCGCTATTAAAGACTGATTGTTTAAGAATATACATCAAAATCTGTCTCAGGCACTGGTATTGAGCTAAGATTTTTAATCCACTGTAATGACTTCTATTTTTTTCAAATATATTTTTAGTAATACAATTTATAATAACATGTCCAAATTCCTAAAAGCATTTTATCATAGCCTACTAGTAATGATTGCAGACTGTTCTCTAATAGATCTTGGTATTTAATGGTTCTGTCATTAAGGTTCTCATTAGAATAATTTATCATTAAGTTAAATATTTATCATTCTTTTCTAAAAGGAACTCATGAAATTCTAAAGGTTTGAGCATTTTGAAAATTAAAGCAATCCATAAAAATCTAAAATAGTTCATTTTAAATTCTGTAACTGAGTAAAAATAAAAATAGCCTCTGACGTTTTATAAGCAAAGCACAAACTGAAAGAGTTCGGATGGAATGGAAGTTGACGTATATAAATCACAGATATATTCCGTGCTTAAAAATCCAAAACATTAACATATTCTTATAATTTAAACTATTTATGAAAAGTAATTCACTTTTTGGCATTTCTCCCTGCTAGTTTTTGTATTTGTTTGGTTGTGATCTGTTTATAATTTGCTACTGTTTTCGGGATTCCTGTGGTCAGTGCATTTTTAGACTTTCAATACAAATGGCAAGAACTTAAGCTATTTAGATACTTTTTTAGAATTACTACACATACAACAGTTCTTTCCAAGCCTTAACGTTCAAATACAAATACAAGCCTTCCTTAAACTACCCACTCTTCACGCTTGCAACCCTGGCTTTGGTCCACGGTGGAGGTACATCGGAACCTTACAGCGTGCACCTTACCTTCTCTTCAATCCTTGCAAGACAATTTGAACTGAAATCCCTTCAAGCTTACCTTTATTTACCCTCCAACTTTTTTTGAAATCAGATAAGATCTTCCTGTAAGAGGAGGTAATTATAAACCATGCCTCCTTCGCTTGTGCTCTCTCGCGTGCTCTCCCTTGCCCGCTCTCTCACGCGTGCACGCACGCACGCACATACACAAACACACACATCTGAGCCTCTCTAATTTTGAACACCTAAGTCTTTTTTTAAGTAGTAGTGAGAATACATGTTACCTGTGTACACATGTATGCTCAAAAGAGCAGCATTGATGAAAGTGTCATGGTGAACTCTGATAGGTCAAACTTAGCCAAAAAATATAGTAAATATAATGGGAGTAAATGTTTGCAACTCTTCAGTCTGAAACCTTCAATTTAAGGCTGCCGCAGTTCAGCCTCTGTAAGGTTGTATCTGTAGAAATGCCATATGAACAAAGCATTTTAATTCCTGTTTGGTACAGAGCTGCTTGACACTAGACTTTAAACTTGTGGTAGCTGTAATACTGATGACAGGTCTTTACTATGAACGTTTATTACTACTATAAAGATCCACCATGTTTGGAACTGAAAGTGGAGGGAAGAGTCTAGTACAGGCACTTCTAGAGCTGCTGGGAACTCATCTTCTCTTTAAATAAAAAGAAATTAAAATTCTTCGCACAAAGTATTGTTCTGATTGGATCCATACTCCTTTGTTTAGCAGAATTGTGGATAGAAAGTAACCGTCAGTGTTCAAATTAAAACCCAATCACTAATTAGTGTTTGAAAAATGACACAGTATATAGAAAAGGTAAGCTGAGTGAATCCTCCTCCTATTTACTTTCATTCAATGGAAAACTAGAAACTACATGTGAATAGGAAAAGATGCAATTATACATGTCTAAGAAAATCCACCAAAGTCCTCTCTATAAATACTTAGGCAGGCTTTGCTGCTTGTCAGAACTGAATGTGAACCAGTAACTTAATTGTCACTTGCAAGTGGTTACTTTTTCCAGTGATTCCTTTCTATGTAGTCTTGCTCTTGTAACTTGAGTTACTCCAACTGGATCATTGGCATACTTCCTGATAATAACAAATGGAGGAGATAGCTGTAGTGCAGAAGAAAAGCAGTGGTAACTATTCAAAAACAAATTTTTAGTTTTCTGAGTATGCCCCATGGCCACAGACTCAGATTTTCAACCCAGGACTGAGTCTACATTAGCCGTACCATTTTTCTATTGTAAAAAAATTAGAAGAAACCCATGTTTCAAAACTTGTGGTATAAATCTGATTATCATGTCACAAGTATATTGATTTTTTAAAAATACAAGCTTTAGAAGTGAATTTTAAACAAATGAGCGTGGCAGTACATTTCTGTCAATTTGTACAAATTCAGATATTGCATTGGAGACGTTTTTTGAGGTCTGCAGTACTAAACAAGTTTCTTCAGTAGTACAGTTATTCACGAAATTGTGCTGATCAATTTTAATGATAATTCCTTTCACTTAGTATTTCGTAATGATTTTCTTATTTTCTTCAGAGTGAACAAGTATATCAAGTGTATACAGGAAGGGAAGAAGCACTGCTGAACTTATGGCACTGCTGAGCCAAATTTATTCTCTAATTTAAGCCAGTGTAGTTCCATTGATTTTAGTTGATTTTTTTTGGAAAAAAAAAACGTGATTTTTTTATGAATTTCAATTTCAGTTCTAATTGATGTTTTTTAGAAAATTTTTCTCTGTGTGCATGTGGAAGTATTGGTAAAAGTTCAGCAGCACTTAAATGTGCAAGAGACTCATTCTGGCATAAACATCTTTGCATACCATTATTTATGTTAAGTCAGTTTTAAAACCTCTTCAGCCATTTAGGATAAGAGGATAACATAAACATTGATAAACAAATTTACCATAAAAATACATTTTGTGTTTTAATATATAAACAGTTCAAATGGAAAAATGGCAAATTCATATTTAAATCAGGAAGACTAAGAAATGTTTCTAAGCAGCTTTCTGTGAGAGGCACATTAAAAAAAACTTTTTAGTATTAATGATGTTCTTTTTCATGTCTATGTTTATAATTTATAGTAACTTAAACTATTCAGCTCCTACTAGGGGATGTATGAGTAATTCAAGTAGATTATACCTTTAGTTAGGATCTTGAAACTGTTACATATGCTGCTATGTCATAGTCTTTTTTTTTTTTTTTTCTCCTAGTGAGCGCTTCAATTACAATATTAAGCGTCTAGACTGAAATTATTTCATGACAGTTGGTCTTTATTAGGCAGAGAAATGTAAAGATTTCTGCCTCTAAGGTCTTGAGAAATGTTTTTTCTATTTATCTGTAATGGTCAAATGATAAAGTTATGAGATTTCTTTATTTTTTTCTGATATCTATGTAAAATTAGGAATAAAATAAAAATTTAATCTGTCTTGCAAGATGCTCTCAAAGAAGTAGGACTGGTAAATCCTGTAATGGGAGGCATAATTTTTTGTCCTTTGGATCATCACTATGTCCTCCTGCTCTTATTCCCTGTTCTGCTCCCCTGCCCTCCCCCCCCACGTTCCTTTTCCATTTATAACAGCTCTATCAAGGAGAAAAAAAAAAAAACACTAGTATAGTGGCTGTTCAGGAGCAAAGTACGTGTGGGATGGGAAGCCAGTCAACAGGAATGTACAAAATACGAGGTTTGCTTGCCTTTCTCTCAGTGGGGGTACTAACTGGGGTCTTTCTAAAATCAGTTGCTGAAATTCTTCATGGTACTTGTCATATCCTAACTTTTTTAAGGTGTCAGTTCTGCTTTCAAATTTCAAATTAAAATGTCCAGTGAACTTGCATATTGTTAAAGGGGAGAGAGCGTTCTCGTACGCCTTGTTTTGTTGAGAAGCCTTCCTTAAAAACAGTAACAAAAGTGATCTAGCATCAGCAGTATCATTTCAGTCCAACAAAAGTAATCAGATACAGTTCATAAAAACTGATTACGTTTGCAAAGAGCAGGCTGCAATAGACCTTTTCAGTTAATAGAAGGCATCCCTCACGTTTACAGTTAAGCGGAAAGCTTTTAAAATTCAGTTATGGAATTTTTCCTTAGGTTGGCTGGCAGTTAAAGAACCTAGTAAATGCTTTGCGAGAAGATCCAAATGGAGTGATTTTAACATTGAAGAAACGCCCTCAGAATACCCTCGTTTCTGCTCCTGCCCTTCTGAAGAACGTGAGGTGGAAGCCTCTTGCACTTCAGGTAAGAAGGCTGTTGGAACTCTGTTGTCATGGTAAATCCCGTATTCTATTAAAGATACAACACTAGAAATATTACTCCTTCCAGTGGAAGGAATAGGAGCCTCTAAGGAGTCCAGTAGCACTTAGAATAATGGGAGAATAAAAGAGGAAGAAAAAAAAACCACCCCAAGCTCATGTGAAATAGGGTTGTGTGGCTATAGTATATAGTACTATATGGTAGTGTAGTATAGCTATACTATATAATAAGGTTGTTTTCCTCTAATTCTTCATAAAGTGGGAAACCGAAGGAATCCGTAGAAGGAAAGAACGTGTACAAATAGCATTACAAAGTAACTAGGCAAGCCTAAGATACGATTAGGTTGCTTGCTTTGACTAGGAAAGGGAACATTGCCTCTCTACATTTTCAGTCTTTCAGAGCCTATCAAAACTACTAATTTGTAACTGAGTGGCAATCTTTTTGAATTTGAGTAAGAATCTGCTTGTTTCCTATATTTTTGATCACAAGTTTATGAGTTTTTGGTGACAATGCTAATAGAACTTCTAATGTTTTATGCATACTTACTGTGTGAAAACCTGTTGATAGCAAAAAATTCAACTGTGAACAGCAAGGCTTGTCCTTCCTAGAGCATCAACATGCATAGTAAAAACTGACTCACCATAAAAAGACTGAACTCAAAATGTCATTATTAAAGGCAAATTTTAAGTTAGTGATTATGCATGTTTACTTTTAATGCAGTATAACATTCTGTAAGAGTTTATGTATTTTCATGATGTTCAGACTTCAGAGTTGTTTTATTTGGATCACTAGAGGCATGAATGTGTTTCTGAATAACTTGAAAACAAAACAAAACAAACCCTTCAGTCCTATCCTGGCAAATTTCTTTCTTGCTTGTCACTTCCTGAATCTTTCATTCCTCAAAGTGGCTTCATCCTACACAGCTGCTCCACTTCAGCAGTTTGTTTAAAGCTTACAGCTGAGGAGTGCTGACGTTTTTTTCAGTGAAAATGAAAAATTTTCATCATGAATACCTTTTTGGGGGAGAGGAAAGGCTGCATGGTGAGACCTAGAGGATCCTGAAAACTTTTCAAAACTTTTATGAGGGCACAGGAGTAACATTCTTCTCTCCAGTTAGATGATTATGTGTCTATTTGTGAATTTACTATGGAGCTTCCAGGGACAGCAAAATAGAAATTGCATTTACAAGAGGGCTTCAACAGAGATTCTTTCTTTATGTTAATACATTAAAGAACTGTAATTCAGGAGCAGCACTAATTCAGAAAATTTTGTCAGTGTGAAACCCAATATGTATGGTGTATATGGCACAGCGTATTCTGGAAAACATGACATTCTTTGTCATGGTAGCTAGATAACTGAAGTGCATTGAGCTGTTTTTGTACAAGTATCGATAGTTTCTGGTTTTGTGATGTGTCCTTTCCTGATGATCCAGAAGGCAAGAACCCCTGAGGGTCAAAGGGTGCCCTAAGACTCATCTTTACTAGGATATTTCTTCTATGCTGGAGAATAGTGTAGTTAGAGATTTCAATAAAAATATAAATCACTTCAGAAAATAAAAAAGCAGTGGCAGTGTTGCTTCTTAACAGTAGGTATTGAAATAAAAAGTTGAAAATCAGCTTTTGGTCTTTAGCATCTTTAGTCTTAACATCTTTCTTTAATCTTAAGTCTTCTTAGCATCATCTTTAGTCTTCATACTACAGAGGTGAGCTCAAATCTTAAGACCTAAATGAATTTCAGGATGCAGTTTTTGATTTTATCCATTTCCTTCAGTTGTCTCACCTGGATCTGATATTATTTATTATTTTCATTAGTGACTTGGAGTTAGCATATAATTAAATTCCAAGATGATACTAAAGCTTGTGTTTCCTGGACAGCTGACATAACAGCTTGATGCTGCTGGAAAGCAATGATCTCACTTCCCTCTCCCTGTTCTTGGATGCAGAATGCCCTCTCCTCTGTGTGACTTTGGCATTTGTTAGTCTCTAGATCAGCCTAATTCACTGAATTGGTAGGAAGGCTTCTGGTTTTGTTTATTTGCTTTTCTGGAGGTGTGTTTTGTTTGTTTTTTTTAACAATGATGGATTAGATTGGCTTTCACTGAGCCTCAAAGGACAGTCTTGAACAGTCTCAGAAATAAGCAGAATACATTCAGCACAGACAAGTAGAAGGTTTCCTGCTAGATAAAGTTAACCAGCTGCACAAATGCAGCTAAGCAGCAGTTTGTAGAATAAGATCTGAGTTAAAGTATCACAAACTGAAAATGATTCAGCAAATGTCAGACTGTTGCAAAAAAAGGGTAACGTATTTGGATATATGTGTATATATATACATGCGCCATGAACTATAGTACACATGCAAATCAATTCTTTCATCCTGACTTAGTGTTGTTAAAGTCTTAACAGCAAATCTCTGATCGGTTTCTGACTGGAAATGCTCTTTCCTTACCAGCAGTTGTTTGTTATGTGGAATCATTGATGGAGTTGTTTGAAGTTTTTGTTTAAAAAAAGAAAAGCTTTCACGCGAAAGCTTTTGTATACATAGCTACATGAAATATTTTATAAGTACTTTTTATGAATGTCATAAATTATTTTATAAAACACTGAAATGTAAGATGCAGGCAGGACATACCTTTCAGTATTATAATGTGTGTTTCTCATACAAAAGTAATACATAGGAATTAGGGAAGGAAAACAGGAAAGAGGATTTAACAATTAAAACTCAGGGGCCTGAAATGTTTAACTCAGTCTGGTACTCAGCAGGAATTTTTTAAATAAAAGTTGTTAAGATTTCTCTTTCTGTTTGAGATGCGTTTATAAGTATAATTAATAATTTTTTTCCACAATAATTATGTTACAGATTATACCAAGTTGTTTAATTAAGAAGTTACTGATGATACAGAATCTGTGAATCCTTCTTACAGAATGTATTTCTTGGGCTTATCATCCTATTCTTTTCCCATAAATAGTTTCCCTTGATGTTTAGGTAACAACGGAAGACTGTTATATGACGAGGTTGCATCCTGCTGTTGTCTTTCAGTTAGAAAACATCTTAATCATGCCAGTTTCTCATTTTCTCTTGAGCTGACATTACTTGATAGAAAAATGTTTTCATTTTTGAACTCTGTGATTATCTTCCCACCCAGTAGAAAATGGATCTTTCACCTAATGGCAATAATCTTTCTTGTTATAAGTACTTGATCCAGCACCTTTTTAAAATTATTTCACGTGAGATGCAGAATCTGTTAGTTGGTGATGTGAGTCGTAAAGCTTACATGTACAGTGACAGTTTTATAATAAGTCTTACGTATTAGGAAATACACATTTATTCTCAGAAACTTTATAAGTATCTGGGGAATAGTTTTAGCTCAGTGTCTCATTTCAATAGATTTTGAAAACCATATGAGTTTAGAGAGATATAGCGTTCATCGTTCATACAAAGCAGTAACGTTATGAGAACAGGTGCTTGTAGAGTGAAGAAAGGAAAAAGAAGTCAATGATGTGTATACCCCTCAAGTCAGTTCTCAATTCATACTTCAGCTACGGTAGCCTGATAGAAGTGCTTACACTTAAGTTTGAAATTATGTGCTGCCCGTTTATTGAAATATTTAAGTGGAGACTATTTCAGACAAGGAAAGATTTCTAACACCTCAGACAAAGGAAATACAGCAAGTAAGGACGTTGTATTTTGTTCTGTTAAATGTCTTTTATCAGAGAAGGCAATGAACAGTCACTTCCTTTATATCCTAATGTCACTCCTGATTTTACTGACTCATGTCATTATTCATATGTATGTCATTGTATCCTCTTACTCTGAGGACAGAAATTAATATTTACACATCAGAAAAGGTATATATTTCAAGTTAGAAAGATTTGTAAATCCACAAAATTTGAAAACTGTAATTGTACCTGCTGTTTTACAGCACATGGTATACGAATTTACCAGTACGTGAGAAAGACGCAATAAGAGCAGTTCTGTTTCTTACTCAGGAGCAGTATTTGTATTGCTGAACACTTACGTTTTCTGGACAGAAGCTTGTCCAGTAAGCAATTAGTCATCTATCACTGGCATCAATGAATTTATTCTGGCAAAAATCACAATCTGTAGGAGTTTATAGGGTGATACGCAGTTACAAAGCCCCATTTTCCCTTACCGCAGGCAACCCGTGTAGAAGAGTGACACCTGTGTGTTTTGTGTGAATTCACCCGTCAGGGGAATTCTGGGGATTGAGTTTATTCCTTCAAGGGAGAAACCAGAGATTCAGTACCCCATCCTTAATCTTTCATACCCCCTCAAAAGGTAAGGGATGTCCATGTTCAAGCCTCTTGTTGCTGTATGACTGGGCTTTTCCAGCTTCCTGCATCTTGTCCTGCTGTTTTTTGCAGGATCCACTGGGGTCATATACTTGTTGTTTTAAACAGCACTTTTAAAATAGCTACAATATTTAATTATCCCCCAGTATTTGTAAAACACACTGAGATTCACAGCAACGTATTCTGTGTCTGAAACAGTTTGACTCTTTTCATTTGGCCAACAATTGTTTGTTTATTTCTGATGAGGTTTGAATTTACCATTCGTCTCTCATTTTTATTCTGGTAGTTAAGCATCATCACTGATGTTATTTTACTGATAAGTAGCTATTGTTGTTAAATATTATCAGTAGCATACAGCATATACCTACAGTGTCACTTCTTAGCAGTCCTTTATGAACAAATTTGGATTTGCTTGAGATTTTTTTCTCCTATGCATGGATTTGCATGTATTTTATCAAACATCTATTTGTACACAAAAACACTTGGTCTACACAATCACCCTAAGTAATTTGATTTTAATTGAGATATAAGGCTTCAAGAATTGATGATGTCTGTTTATCAAAGCAGTTGATAGTCCTGATTATGAAGATATTTACTCTTTATTAAAATTAGTTCTTTGGATTGGGCATAATACTTAAATGCTACTAATATTTTAATAATACAAGATCCCTGCGCTGTTCGCATATGCTTAAAACCACTGAAACTCCATGTCTAATAACACAGAAGAGGCAAAAATAGCAGCATTAAAACACCATTAAAATATTATTTTTCAAAAATAAAATCAAATTTGATTCCAAGTATTTTAAGGAGTTTATGATCTGAATAGGATAGAAAAAAATCAATGTTAAAATTAAAGCTAAATTTAAAATATTGTGAGTGAGTCCCCTTAGCTGATGCAGCCTGGCACAGGACTTCCTAAATAAATATGTTAGATAGTATGTATGGTATAATATGTAAAGGTAAATATTTAAAAGAGATTCTTAAATCAGACTGCCCTGAGCTTTAATTCTTTTAAGCATATGTACAATTTAAAGCCCTGGGAATTCATCACGTAAATGAAATTATGCAGATTTTATATCTCCTGATTAGAGTAAAAATAATTGGAAAGAATAAAAATTATTAGAATTGTATGTAGTCACCTACATGTAACTGCAATTCCAAATTGTTAATAAATAAACAATTTCCACAGCTTTTAACCTCGTTTCCTAATGTTTTTTTTGCAGTCACTCTGTGCATGTCTTTCTGTTCTTACCCTTTCTCCCTTCTTCACCTCTTTTGAATCTTTGATCCAACTTCCTTTGAAAGAGAAGTCTCAAAGACTACTTTTAGCTATGATTAGTGAGGGCAAAGGAAAATGTGGCAGAGGCCCACAGGTCAGCATGAACAGCAAAAACATATGTTTGGACCTAAAATCTAGATAGAGTAGCTTGCTTTATAATATGATTAGAGGACAGAAAAGAGTGATAGGTCCATCTTTTACACCTTATAGATATCTCACTGCATAAGACAGGAATTCTGAAGAATATGTGATCAGAACTGTATGATAGTAAGCATAACCAAGACTGTAGAGGAACGCTTATCTGGAATACCAGTACAAAATAGTATGGATTGTTGAGGAAGAACTGGCATGGGAGAGAAGCAGAAGGTATTGCTTTGTTTAACAGAGATGCATACCTTCACTCTAAGGTCCAGATCATAGAAGAATTATGTTTGCTGGAATTCCCTGAGTGATGATAGGGGAGGAGAAAGCGGGTACTCGTTGCTATTCATTAAAGATCAGTATGCCAGATCGGTAAAGAAGGCTTTTTGTGACCAGCTAGCAAAATTACCCAACGTGGTTTAATTGAATGAAGTACGTCTATTGGGAAGGGAATAAAATCAAACATTGGTCCAAAGGCATAGTGACCAGCAAATTCTTGGAAAGCGCCGGTGACCAATTTTTTTATAGAGAAGACAGAGAATGCAAATAAAAGGGTAGAGTGGGGGCCGTTCTTCACTTGAAGGAAAAATTGAGAGGGAGAAGGCGGAAGACAGCTTGTCGGAGAGCAATCATGAAGCAGTGCCATTCCTTAGAAAGGTCAATCCTTAGAAAGGCGAAGGAGAACTTAAAACAGCACACATTTCTGTAAACTCCAGACCCAGTTCTGGACAGTGTATCTGTTGGGGAAAAGCCAGAGCACAATAGCATTAATTAGAAGTATTCATATGTAAAAAAGGTTAAAGAAGAGTCAATGAAGTCTTTTCTAGCTTTTTTGATGCTAGAGGCAAGAGGTAGGGCAAGAGGTAATAAGCTTAAACTGAAGCAGGAAAGATTATGTTGATGTAAGGTTTGCTAAAAAAAAAAAAAAAAAAACAGGAATAACATGGATATCATTTATCCTGTTTTGAGGCAAATAGATTCGTTATATTACTTATCCAAGCCCCCCCCCCTTTTTTTTTCCTATTGTCAACTTCATTGACTAACCTCTAACCTTGATAACTGCTAAATATACATCCACTGTAAAGAGACCTGGTGTAGGTAATTTCTTTCCTGATTCTGAAATGGAGTTTCCACTGGTCTGTGATAATGCTAATTTATGTTTTAACACGGAAAACTGGGTATCCAGCTGCAGGTAAACTGAGGATTACTAGAATGTCTTACATTTAGCCTCTTTACCACTACTGCAACACCGGAACTGCTGAAATAATGGTGATATACTAAATATAGTAGTTGATGCAGTACGTAAGGTGGGTAGGCCATGATTTCCAAACAAGGTATGAGAAAGTAAGTCACAATAATTCCTCTTTTTAGTGTTAACTTCTTAACTGTTTACATGGATCAGAGGAAAGAAACCCAAAACACTCTATCAGCATTTAAGAGGCTTAAAAATAAGCAGAGAAGAGTATAATTTGAGCCCCTAGGCAGAATGATACTCTCATGAAAAAACATCTTTTATTAGTACTTAAGATTGCTAGAGCTTGTAGAATCGCATAAAAATAATTTCAGCATTTATCTCGAAAAGATAGAGAGGTTTTGTCATATTTAGAAAAGTTTTACAATTGATCTTCATAGTCTGGTTTCTACATCACTGTTTTCCTTCTACCTTTCCTTTCCTTGTTTAAAAAAAAAAGGATTTATCTATTTAAACACATTTTCGTATTCAAATGGGAATTTTTCATGTAAATAATCTAAACTGTAATACTAAATAAAAATATATTTCTATGTATTGAATACATATGCAGTAATTAGAGCTACTGTGTACCTTTATCAAACATGCGTTTCTTCTGTGATATCTGTAGTTGATTTAAATTTCAGACACTTAAATATGCTAAAATAAACCTCATCTTTTCCTTGTTTTTGTTAATATATCATTTCAGTGCTGTTACTTCATTCTGATTTCATTAACTTTTATTTTTAGTTTTATTATTGTATGGAATACTTTCTGGAATGAATATGAGAAGACAAGCTGTAAAGATTACTGTCTTCTTGAAGTAGGTTTTATCTTTTTACATTGCAAATAAAACCTGTATTTTTAAAACAGTTATTTATATAGCTAAACATAAGCAGAATAATGAAACAATCATGATAATATTTGCAATTTTCAAATATGATTATCAAGTATAACGTTATATGCCAGCCTCTGTAGTTTTCCATTTGCATGTGCGTTCAAGAAGAATATATAGTTTTCTGTTACTTCTCACCTTGTGTTTTTTTGAGGACTTTTTTCCCCCTAATATTAAATTATTTTGGATCAATAAAAGTGTCTTTTTACCAATGCCAAGTTAGTGCACATAATTTCATATCCTAAATCTATATGTGTGTGTGTCTGTATTTATATGTGTGTGTACAGGTAAGTGTAATAATACCACTGTACAAAACTGAAAAAATTCTAAATAAAAGCATAGAGATTATAGGTAACTTATTACTTCTAATCTTCCGCCTTTGGCTTCCCACTCCAACTCTGTTTAATGAGATACTAATGTCTTTAGACTGTAAGTAGAGGCTTGTGAACAGTAATATTTCCCTAAGAATTTCTTGTAGAAGGTACTTTTTTGGTTGTTTAATGGGTCCGAAGATAATTCAGAGTTCACGTTCAGCATCCATGTCCTTAGTCCTTTTCTGATGCTAACAAGTTATCAGATAGTGTTTCTAGTTCTGTGCCTCTGTCTGTTACCAATTGCAGGGACATAAAAAGAGAAGTAACCATTATTTGTCTTTAATCAACACTCACTAGGGACTGCAGTTAAAAGTAAAGTACAAAGTGTCACAGTTTAGACTGTACATTGTATTACTAATTCCTTGAGCCACCAAATCCTCCTCAGAAGGTGTGTTTAGTACAGTTTAATAAAACATAGTTGTGCAGAAACTCAATATTTGTATGAATTCCATTCCACCCAGGTACAGTATCAGTGCTATGGAACATTTTAATTTATGTTTCATTGCCAATCACTATAGGACCTACTACTCTCTATGATCCAAATGTGACAAACAACCACGATTTCAGTGAAAAGTAAGACAACAGGTGAATATGAATTCTATTTTTGTAAAGAAATCATGGTATTCTATCGCTGTTAACAATAAATCCTCTACTGAAAACAATATTATGGTTCCGAATACTTTCTCTCAGTGCAAGTATTCTAGAGTTTTGTATTATTTTTCTTATTAACAGCATTTCATAGTGTATATCCTTCCTCCTTACGTAATGACTTTCTGTATTTGTTTAAAAATCATATTTTTATTCAGTTTCAGAATTTTCCATGAGATTTCTTTTGTCTTAATTGCAGTAATGTGGTTTTTTGTTTTTTTGTTTTTTAGACCAGCTTCTTCCACAACTAGTCCTGAACTCTTTGCTAAAATGATACTTCAGTAAAGATCTTTTTGGAATAAACTGCACTAATCCAGAAATGCCTAATCCAAAAAAAGAGATCATGATTCATAATAGGAAAACATACATTTTGATTTTATTTGCAGCACTGTTAACTTGCAGTGTGGAAAACGTTAGCTTATTCTTCATATGCTTATTTTTTACAGCCTGTAATTCCAACCAGTCCTACAAGCAGCTCTACAACTCCAACTAGTACAATGGGCATGTCCTCAAAAATGGAGAACTCTGCGCTCCAGGATGTTTTCATTCTGTCTCCTATGTCAGGACTTTATGGCCCCAGGTATTTACTTCCTAATGAACTTGAGGTTTTGAAAAACAAAATTTTACACTTTAATTTCAGTGGACTAATAAAAACAGTGCACCCTTCTCTCCCTTGTATGCGTATTTAAATATTTGGATTTTTTTTTAAAAGCATTCAGTTTGCACACAGGGCAGTACAAAGTGACTGTATGATGGGTATTGTTCCCAGTACGCTCATGAGGATCTAGTGGTATTCATGATTGTCCACTAATATTTATCAAAATAAAGAGCTAGAAATACATTAGGCAGCATATCATTATTTTGAGAGTCTTTTAACTTGCCCGTAGCTAGATAGAAAACCTGCAGACAGCTGGTTTAACAAAACCAGATTTAGGTCCTAAATCAGGAAAGCATTTTAAAAAGTCTTTAGTCATTTTGTTCTGTTTACTCTTATGTGACCACTTGCATCTTATTTTAAAGCATCTACTTCTGCAAGTGCAACGTACCCTTGCCATCTCGTATTATACCAATTCCTTATACGTCCTTTCAAATACTAGAAAACTTCTGGATTTGTTTTTTGGGGTTTTTTTGGTGTGTGCTCTAATTCAGTATTTTAACCCAAACAGCAGAGCTCAAAATCAGATTTTACATTTCACTGAATCTAGTTTCAAATTGGAAAACGCAAACATTTGGTTTGTTTTGACAGTTGACTATAAGTCGCAGAATATTTGCCAATAGATGTAGTTCCACCTTTGTTGTGGTTTTGTCTTAGCTTCTTCATGTCTGTCTCTGTCTGCTATCTTTATCTCAATAACAAATTCAGAGATAGCCACTCGGTTTATTCCCTTTATTTTTGTTTTAAGGGGACCAAAGTAAGACCAAATCCGTTTTTCTCTTGTAACAAAAAAAGAAACTTGAAATAGCACTGTAGGGTATCTCTCACATGCAGAATTAGAGAAAGTTCAGAAGAATTATTAATAAGTAACATGAGGCTGAGGAGGTAATTTTCTTATATTCCATAGTGAACTTCTGTAGAGCAGTACAGTATTACATTGTTCTTCCTAGCTGGGAAATAGATCAGCAAACTGTTCTGAAGAGTCAAAAATGTGAGGGAAATCATCTGAGCCTGGGAAATACTAGAGTATGCGCTGTCAAAACCAAAGCTATGTCGCAAGCTGCACCAATGGAATTGAGTAGAACCAGGTGTATTTTCTTGAAAAACGTTTTGCCTGCCTCTGATTTTTGAGCTTTAGACCCACAAAGTTGAAATTTTGCCTTGAACTGTTTTCTACTTTCCAAAAGCATAAACATGAAATTTACAAGCTAGTCTTCCCCTAGCATCTGCGCTCTCCCGCTGTCTGCCCGCCTCCCTCCCGTGTTCTTTTAAGGTAAATCTTTGTTTCAAAAGTATATGTCATTGCAGATACCACTGTGAGTGAACATATGCATCATGAATGCAACACCAGATTCTTGTCTATAATAACATTTATTGAGTCAAGTTTGCAATTCTGGAAATTCAGGCTATTATATGAGTGTAAATTATTGGAATAGCCTTCCCTTCGCTTCCGTCTATTACATGTGGCAATGAGGAACAATATAGTGACCAGCCAGTTTACTGCTTTTTTTTTTTTTTTAAAGAATCATCAAAAATACTTTTTTTTTTTTTTAAATGGAGAAAAAGTGTACTTTGCTGCAGTGCCTCTGAATTTAGCTTGCCATCTTTGGTGGCTTTTGGAAAGGAATGAGTAGGCCTGTTGGATGATGAACCATATGGGAAAGACCTAGTTTTGACTGTAATACCTCTCATGGCTCTAAAAAAAAAAAGTGCAAAGCTTAACTTAAGTGTTTGACCTTAACCGTTCAAACCGTGTGTACCATTCTGAACTGATAGCTAGCTTGGCTTTGCTTTTTGAGGAAGGAAGTGCCTATTCGCTTCACTGAATTTCAAAGTTCACTTCGTTAGAACTGAAGTAGAATTCATCTTCTCCTTGGCTTACGAATTTTCTGTTTCCAAAAACTGAAAAATGTTGACAAGTAGTAATTCACTGACATGGTTACGGGTTGTATGTTGGACTTAACAACCAGTAAGATTTTGTTTTGGAGAAGAATATTTTCCTGTTTCACCGGTTCATTTAAAATCTACAGTATGTGTTAACCTGTCACATACTCTAAAAGATTTTATAGTACCTGTATATCTCTTAGATGTTATAGTTAATTTAGAGCTCAAAAAATGTATTTCATTTCTATATCAGAATTATCAGCCATCACAGGCCTCAAAGCAGAGACTGAAGGAGCGGAGGATTGTACTTTCTTTGACCTTTGTGCCCTTGTTCAGTATCTTATGGAAGCCTAGAATACTAGTCCTGATGGACTGAGAATAACTTGAATTTGGACATGAGGAGTGTCTGTCTTCCAGTACAGTATAACTACAGCATCTCAAAGAACACTAATACAGTAGGACAATCTGTAGATCGTATTATATATTATATGCATATATCTATTATTGTATACTGCTGATTTTGAGAAGTTGCTTATTTAAACTGATATAAAATTTTGAAAAGTATTTGTGATATATAGCCCATCAAGAATTTTCATTAGAAAAGCAGCAAGAACTATTTTCAATAATATAAATTGTAATATACTTGTAATAAATGTCTAAACAGTATTTTGGCAAGATTTTCTGAATTCTGATGAATGATGAAAAGAAAATGATTTCAGTGATGAATGATGAAAAGAAAGTAATCAATTTCAGTGAATTACATAAGTTGTACTTTTTTAAAATAATATTTTGTGTAACTATTATGGTTTGGCTACTTTGTGGTGCTTTCTTTCCAGTTACTGCCAAATATTCAACATAACTGTTTATCCTACAGATAAATTGTAACCTAATGATGATTAAATGAATTTACATCTGTTGAAATTAAATTGGATCACTTGCAAAATTTCTCCCCTTATAACAGATTACAGACATTTTTCCATTTGTAATGTTTAGGAGAGACAGTTGGTACCCTTTAGCTTTATCATTAAATGGCTAATTTCCCCATAATCTTCTGGTTTACTGTTTTTAGGGATGAAATTGGAATAATGTCTTGTGATGACATCAGCAAATTTGGAAAGTCTGGAATGAAAGGCTCTGAGTCTCCAAGTTATTTTCTGGAGCATGAAAGTGGGAAATACTACACCTTAATTGAAGGTGAAGGTCATCCTGTGGGCTCTGAGTATGAGCGAAGCAGAGCTACTGGAGTGCGGAGAAGAGAAAAAACACCGACTCATGGTAAACTTGATTTCTTGACGTTTCAAAGTTGACTGGCTTAACAAATTAACTGCATCACCTCCTAAAGCTCTGTTATTCTTTCTTAGACTATGACCTGGTGGCTGTGACTATTAGGCAAAAATTTCTGTGAAGGAATACTTAGTATAACTAGGAACTAGCATATAAAATGAATTTATGAATTTACTCTGCAACGTATACTTAAAATTTGGGGTGATATTTAAGTTCATATTACTTGGATAGGTAGCATCTTAACTTGCTAGATTTCATTCAGAAACTTTTGGAGATTAGTCTAGTTGCAACCTTCTGGACTACTTACAGTGGACCTGAAAAGACTTATTGGTGGTAGGAAAGTCTCTAAGAGATGTAATGCCTTCCAAAATTCAGCATTATGTTAAATAGATATAATTAATTACATGAACAGCATCCTAGGATTAATTTGCTAATGCTAGAAATATAATTCTAGAATAGTGACTTAGAATAGTGACTGCTTAAATGAGTAAGATGCTATTATAACAATGGTAAACTCTGATTTTATGTAGAAATTTTGTTTTCCTGTAAATCTGGAGAGGTGTACAGGTATGTATACATATATGTATGTATATATAAAAAGTACTGTTGAAAATTAATGATTTTTTTTTAGCTTATCTGTTAAAATTGATGTTCTTGGTATTTGGTGAATATTAGAATGATATTCCTGAAACATAACGGTGTTTTCTTTGTCTTTATGGATTGCTTTTATTTTCAGGGCAGTAATTTAATTTGAAAGTTTTACAGACCTTTAAGATAAAAGATTTCTTTTAAAAAATTATTTGTCATGTAATTATTTTTGAATTTAGTTATGCAAATGACGTTATTGCTGTGCCTCTCTCAACAGAGAAAGGAATGACTCCCCCACTCATAGCATTCTCTGTGTCTTTTGATAAATATGTAATGCCATCATTTAGTGCTTCATTCACATATTCTGAGGCTGGTTTTTTCCTTTCTCTGATACTGTTAAAAAAATTCCTAAATAGTTTTATCTTGGAAAAACAAAAATCACTCTCACAAGTTCAGAAAAGCAAAGAAAAACATGTCTGTGAATGAGTGTTGATGGACATAGGTAATAAAAACATGTTGCAATTCAATGGAGTTAACACCCAAAGGAAGTTACAGTGGAAGATCCAGTAACAACTGTAATGGTAAAAACAAAAAAACTTCAAAGTACTCTAGACGCTGCTATTGTTATTCTACCGTAAAATGGGTTAAGTCTGGAGCAGGGTTTGATGCCGTCGATGTTATTTGTAAATGTCGTTTCACTGCTGCTTTCAGTTATTTGCGCTTAGAGGCTGTGTGGCTTTCTCTTCACTGTACTCAGACATGGAAATGTTCTTCTTTTCACCTTAAATATTAGATGAGAGAGCAACTGACTACCACAGATGCTGAAACAGATATTGATAGTTACGATGTGCAAGTATGACTTTTCCTCTGTCAGTAAATCTGTTTTTTTTCTTTTAATTACATTTGAGATATCTATAGCATAGTTACATGATGTGCCTGGATTAAGATCTCGGCTGCATTACTCTTTTGCCAGGTTCAACTAATGAAGGATAGCTAAGTTATTTCTGTAGTTTCTCCTGTGATTTCTAGAGTTGAGAGGGTTGAATCCAAGTCTGGAAATGTGACAGCTGCAGGGGTGTGTAAAATTATGCCAAGGTGCAGTGATAATTCTGTAGTAGCTAGAGGTTTCCCCAAGAAAGGATTTTGAACTTTCTAAGTGATGTTACATTTTGTCGTTCTAAGAATTTCAAAGCAATCTTAGCTTTTTTTAGCTCAAGTAAATGGGACTTAAGTATTTTGCTAACTACAGCTGAGTTTATGCTCAAAAATGGCAAAATTTCAACTGTAGAATGGACAGAATGGTATTTAAATATTACCCTTTATTTTTGAGAATAGAGAAATTTTAACAGATCTTTTATGTATGTAGAATATTTTTAATAACTTGTACAACCACAGACTTGATGCTTGGAAGAGTTATACCCAGGTTAACACCGAAGTGTAGGACTCCATTTTAATGCCAGTGACATTCAATCTTTATCCCCCTGATAAGCCACAACATTTTATAATAAAATTAGAATGAATGAGAAATCTGAGCTGTGATTTAAATTGGAGCCAGATGGATGGATTTGGCTTGCTTTCATAAAATTATGCTGCATGATGACTTCTACTTTAAAATATTGGACGTGGTTCCTGTAATACTTAACGTTTCTGTTTATGCTTACAATGGACAATTCTGTCTGACTTTCTATAACTTTGAGAGAATTTTTTGAAAATCTGGAAGGAATTTAAATTTAAAGTCTCAGAAATGTGTATTTGTTCCTTTTTAAATAATTGTTAAACCAGGAATTTTTAAACTAAAGATTAAACTAATCCATTAATTAACGCATTTCCAAATCTGAATTTTGCTCTGGCTCTAGTAGAGTGCATGTTTGTACTTTTTGATTTAAGATGTACTTTTACATTATCAAAGTAACTGTATGTCTTTCTATGGAAAGACAGGATTTACAGTGGGTCCAAGAAACAGCTATCTGATGCTGTAACTGGTTAGCCATGGGCAAAATAGAGGAAATAAAACTTTGGAAATCTTTTATGGTTGAACATACTCTTTCATTGTTGCTAGGACTTGCACAAACTGCAGCTCAGAAGTTCTTGCTGAGCATTTGCCGGAATTAAAGTGGTTATCAGAAACTAGTGTCTGTTGCAGCTGGTACATGGAGTGATGATACTCAGGCAGAAGAGACCCTGAGTATTGGTAATGCGTGCAAAGCCCAAGCAGGCAAATAAGTCCGTTTTCCTTCAGCTTCTCAAACCGTTTTTGAAAATTAAGCTTTTATTTATCATAATATTTGCATTTCACCTTTTCTAAGACTTATGATCTAAAATTAGTCTTATTATTCTGACTCTAACGTTGGTATTTAGAGTTCTTGTGACAATACCAATCAAATCCCTAGATTTGCTTGTATTAGGCAAAAATGTCATGAATCAATATTTTTTTGCTTTCAATTTCTGGTCTTTTATTTATACACAGTAATTTTCCCATATAGTGATAAATACTCGAGTTGCAATGCTGTAACAGTTTATAGGTAACTTAGTAGTCCAGAGGGTGAGCATAAGGGCCTATGGCGGGAGCAAGAAAATGTATTCTAAAAGAAACAGAAAATGGAAGGATTCTGTATTTCAGTAGCACAATTTCAGTCTCCTTTGTATTTTCAAACTAGCTTTTTGAAGCTCTAGTTTTACATTTATTGCCTTGTATTCTTTTATCACCTAAAATGACACTCGGGATGTATGAAGAACTACATTTTTTAAGTTTAGCGTAATATTCTGACAACGGTTACAGACTTAGACTGCATAGCAGATTCAGACTTCTTTGAGACAAATATTCCTTAAGGGTATTTCTTCCTGGGATTCCAGGACTGCAGCCCTATGCAGCATACACAAAGAAAATGCTTGGCTGTGTGTGTAAAGAGCCAGCTTTTCAGATCTGCTTTCCAGCATTCCAAGTTTATCTGTTACTTTTAATATAAATATTCTGCTGCTGTCATTTTGAATGGCTCAGGTGCCTAACCACTGATTACTCTGGACATTTCTGAAAAAGAGCTTGACAAAATACTGCTGCTGTTGTCACATTGGGAGGCCTTTTGATAGATGCAACTTTTAACTCTCAGTCTCTCTGTTAAGACATCTGTTTAAGGACAGAAATATGAGCCTGTTTTTCTCAATCTCCCTATAATAGCTGAAGCATTTTGTGGTCTAACCGAACTACATACCCAAATCATGTAAGTTTTTAAAAATCTCTGAAAAAGGAATTTGTTTTTCTGTGGAAAGAAGGAAAAAGAAAAGCCTTCGACTTAGTTCTATGGAATTGTTCTGTAGTTCCTTTCAGTGTCTGAATATTTGTTTTCAGATGCTTGTGAGAGAGGCAAGTAAAGCAAGCAGTTCTGAAGCCATCAGCTATGTATACATTACAGCTCCAGGTTTTCAGAGAATATTTTAATTGTTGGTACTAAAACTGCATTTATTGTAGATAATTTTTTTTCCATTTGCTTGGGAAAGAACTTTGAATTCAGATTGGTAGTGCACAAAATCACTAGTTTCTTAGTTTGGCCTTGTGTGTTTTCCAAGTTTGCATCTCTCACTTTGATTATGCTGTGGCAGCTGCCATTTATGTGTTACAGATCTCTTCAGGGATTAAACATTTCTTCTCTTGTCCGGAGAGCTGCTAAGTTTTGTTACATTGATCTCCATTTGCTATATGCATTCTAAAATTCGTATTTCTATTTTTATCTTCTATTCTATTTGTTTTTCATTCTTTTCCGTATTAATGATTCTTAGCTTTGTTTGGTATCTTGTTGGTTGTTTTCTTATTAATACCATTCTTTTAAAACCAAATTCGAAATTAGGAATTAAATAATAAATTTCTATTCAAAAGTAATTTCAACTGTTAGGGAGATGAGGAGACTACATATACTTCCATAAGATTATACCGTAACTTTTAGGGTATTAGTGAAAGTATAGTGTGGGAAAATCTCTGTAGTCTGGGTAGATACATTACCAGCTAAGTTTTAAGGAAATCATATTATCCAAAAACTTACTTTTCTTATAAGCCTGTTAGTTCTTAAATCCTCTTTTCCGTTTAGGTGCCTATGCCTGTAGTACTGTTTTATCGGTTTTGCAATTACAAAGCCCATGCGTATCTATGAAAATTGATGAAACAAAACAATAAAGTATATAGTACAAGTCTGTAGCTAAATTTAGCTGTGCTAGTAATCAGATTTATTCATTTTTACGTATGCTAAACACAGCTACAGTCACTGGCTCGCAAATTCTGCAGAAGAGTTTCTGTGTTTCGTTTTTGTTCCATTTTTATGTTCACAGTTTAGAATGGTATTTTCAAACTCACTGGTAATATCTTTCTGATCTTTGAGCTTTTTTAACCGTTTGTTTTTGCAGAGTCATAAAACTGGAGATCCACTCTGCTCATAATTACTTTGGTAAACAATTCACATATTGCTCTTTTTCAGGTAAATAAGGCCAATAGTACCTGTTTAAATGGAGATGTGATGTTGAAACCAAATTTTTTAAAAGCAAATGGAAAATTTTTAAAAGAAAATACGGATAATTAACACTAAAGTGCCTTTCATTGTATTGGTCTGTTTTTAAGATGATTCCTAGAGAAAAATATAGGTGATGAAATTTGATTTTTGTAGGCAATAAAAGGAATAAAATAATAAAATAAACACTCCTTCATAATATCAGTGTTTTAAATGGATTCCTGTCATTATCAGTTCAGTAGCTAAAGAGCTATATTTGGAAGGCTGGTGAATAACAAACTCCGTCAGCACACAAATAACGCAAAAAATACTTTGTTTTTAATAATAAACCTGAGGTAACTGATTAAGAAACACAAACTATTGTTCATATTTTAATTCTATGATTATCTTAGAAACATAATAGACAGTAGCTACTTGCAGAAAATAGCTTGATTCCTAAAGCAGCACTCTACAAATTTAGTCAGCTGGCATGTGGAAAGAGGAAACTTTGGGTGCATGGGTCAGACAGGACTTAACCTGTAATCAAGAGGGTATATTTCTGTGTTCAGTGATAGTAATGCACACTGACAAGGCCAAAGTGCTAACACTTTATAGTTAGCTTTGCAGTACTCCTAGTTTAGTGGCCCGCTATGTTCTACTGATTTCATAGCAGAGAGTGAATAATGCACATAAAAGTCTTCCGGCTGTAGTGCCATAACATCATATTAACTGAAAATCCTGATGTCTGAATCTTCTTTTTTTTTTTTTTTTTTGCCAAACTGTTGCCAGTTCTGTATTGCATGTTTTCTTTTTAAGGCACATGAAATTAATCTTACTTGAAACTATCAGATATTCTCATTACTCATCATGTAGTTTTCCAGGTCATATAGGTCTTACTGTTTAAGTGATGGAAACAAAACGTTTCAGCTGTATTAATAATCTTTGTAATTGTACTAAAGCTGATTAGTCTGTTTTAAAACAACTTACTTCACAGAATCACAGAATAGTTAGGTTTGGAAGGGATCTCTGGAGATCATCTGCTCCAAGCCCCCCTGCTCAAGTAGGGGACAGCTAGAGCAGGTTGCCCAGGACCGTGTCCAGTAAGCTTTTGAATATCTCCAAGGATGGAGACTCCACAGCCTCTCTGGGGACCTGTTCCAGTGTTCACCTACCTTCAGAGTAAAGTGTTTGCTTTGTGTGCAAGTTCCTTTGTTTCAATTTGTGCCCATTGCCTCTTGCGCTGTCACTGGCACCACTGATTAGAGTCGGGCCCCATCCTCTTTACACCTTCCCATTAGATATTTATAAACATTGATAAGATCCCCTCAAGCCTTCTCCAAGCTAAACAGTCCCAGCGCTCTCAGGCTTTCCACATATGAGAGGTGCTCTGGTACATTAGTCGTCTTTTCGGCCCTTTGCTGGACTCACGCTGATAAATCCACGTCTATCTTGTACTGGGGAGCCCAGCACTGCACCCAGCACTTCAGATGTGGCTTCACCAGTGCTGAGTAGAGAGGCAGGATCGCAGCTTTTGAGCTGCTGGCAATGCTCTTCCTAATGCAGTCCAAGATACTATTGGCCTTCTTTGCCATCTATTTAATGAGAGAGGAAATTTTTATAGGAGAGGTAAATGCAGAAAGGGAGTAAAATTACTTGTGAATGTAATGCAGAAGTCAGTGATACTTGAGTCAACTGGCAGATATGAGTGTTGAATTGATTGTGAAAGCTGCAGCTTTAATAACGTATAGGTGCTGATAAAAAGGACTACTCCGAAGGGTTGTTTCATGTTCTAATTTACCATAATCACTCTAGAGCCTTTTATTTTTAGTTTTCAAAAATTTTATTGGTTCATCTTGAATTGTTTCCAGGAGATTTAAGGCCTGTTTCTATGCCTACTGAGTACAGCTGGACGGGGGAGTCAAAAGAACAAAATATGTACAAGAGGGGAAGCAGAGGTGAGTATTTTTTTTTTCTCTGCTGTTCTCCAAGACTTTTTTCTTTGTTTCTTAGGAAACGTGAAGATGTCATCACAGAAACCAAACCTATTTTTAGTGAGTGCCACAGAGAATGCAAAAGAGCCTGTGCAGTGTCTGAGTGGTTGTGTTTGTATTCCTGAAAATGAGAAAATTTGTATTAGTTGTGAGGGATTGACTTTATCTAATTCTATTATGAAGGAAGATAAACATCAAGGGATAGAAGAGACTATAATATTCAGATATATGCTGATAGCAGTCATAGTTCTTAATCTTTATGGCTTTGTACAGAAAGCGTTATTATAGATACAAGTTAATGACCTTTGAGACACGTTTTGATGAATATGGATGAATATTGGAAACCTGAATCAACAAGTGCGCTATGTTCAGACTAGCAGTCCTAATGATATAAGTTTCCACTGATTTCACTGGGAATTGTGCACTTTGGAAGAAGTGTGGTGATAGCAGAGTACCTGAAGGTTTAAAAAATAAAATAAAATAAAATAAAAGTGTTGCAACACATAAGTGTAATTTGAGTTTTATTTGAAAGATGCAGCTTACAATTTGTTCTTTAATTCTCTATATTGCTGATGGTAAATATAAAACTTACTGGTAATTTTTCTAAAGGGGATGGGGAAGTTGAGTGCCAGTTGTGTTTTAGCTTTGTTCCAACTCAAAAATATGAGCGCATACTACATTGTTATGAAATAGTTCAGAAAAAAAATAGGCTGTATTGCTTTCGTCTTTCACTAGTGCTTCCTTTTGAACATTGATAAATATGTATCTGTTCAGTAGACTTATACTCAAAAAATCAGTTCCATTTTTTGGTAGGTAAAATAGACTTTAAATCAGTATTTATAGACCTGACTTATATATGCAATCTAAAAGTATTTATGCTCTTGAAAATAAAAGGTTTCTAATCTAAGCTAAATTGTGTAAAGATGCTACAGTAGCCTTAATATTACCCATTATCCACCTATCTGAAGAGATCATCACCAAATATCCACAGACATACTACAGCAGAAGAGCATTTCTTCAACTGGTGCTTACAAAATGCAATGCAGATTGCATTAGAAATAAAAATCAACTACAAGATATTGTTGAGCATTTTACAGGATTTTAAACTATACTTAAGCAGTAATTTTCCATTCAAAAATAAAGTAAGTTTCATCTAAGGCAGACTTCACTGATTTATTCCAAATCTAAATACTTATCTTGCTTTAAATTTTATGAATGAAAATATGTGACTATGCAAAAGAGACTGGATAAGTAAAAAAATTCTGTAGGCATTCAGTTGAATCGTATTTTTAACATATGCTAAAATATGCTGTCCATTACTGATTTTTCTGTATTAGGTAGAAAACTCCTATCTGCTGATCTATCTTTGGCTATATTTATATTTTTTTAGGCAGGCTATGTAGTGTGACTAGCTTCATATTAATATGTAGTGCAAGGGCCTGGTTGTGCACCACCATGTTTTCTGTGCCTAGGTTTTATGCCAGCAGAACTGCTCGGTTTTCTGTAGGTTGGAACTCGTGTACAAATGAGCCGGCATGCAGAGGAAACAGCCTCAGATGAAGTGGGGAATTAACCAAGCTGACAGTACAAATTCAGCCAAGATGATTTTCTCCCCAGTTGTACATAACCTTACAATTTCATGTAGACTTTTGCCTGACTTGTCTTTGAGACATCATCTGCGATGGTCTGAAATTCTTGCCATATTCAAGACGCATAATATGCGCTGCCTATCCCTTATCAAAGGGTCCCTAGGCAAGGACCTGTTGCCTTGTCACAGGAACAAATCACGTTTGGTTTGGTCTGATTTTTTTCTTGATGCGTCTACACAGACTGGCATTGTGTTCTTGTCATTTTGGTGCACCATAAATGATTTGAAATTTTGTTCCTAATGTATAGAAATTGAAATTTTACTTTATGTGAGATGTACCTCTGTGGCGCTTCCTTTTCCCACTTTCCAAAATTATAATTACCCCTTTGATAGTAATCAACTACAGCACTGTAGCTGTTTATGAGGCTATGTTGTGAACCAGCTCAAGAAACAGATCAGGAGTAAGTAGCCCCTGTTTTGGTTTTTGATTTTTTTTTTTGTTTTTTAGGGGAGGCAGTTTTATTTTTAACTCTCTTTCCTGATCTAGTTCATAGCATAGCTCCACAAATAGCTCTGTCAGTTCAACCAAGTAAACAGCATGTTGCTGTGCAAAGTTTGGAATGAGGAAGCTAGGAGATGGGGACACATTAAAATACCATTGCCACCAAACATTTTGTATAATGTAATTATGACTTGAGTCTTTCCTCTATGCACCATTTCATTAAGCTCAGATATGTGTTCATTTGGCTGTTGATATTCAATAGTATTCATATGATTAAATGCAATAAATCATATATTTTCTTAAAGTTGTGAGTGAAGAAGGCATGCCATTTTGCAGAGAAGTTGTTGGTCAGAATTTTGAAGCTCTCCACTGAAACAAAAATAGTTTGTTTGAAAAACCAAAATTTGATTCATGTTTCCTATTATATTTTATTTAAAATTAAATGCTTTTCATAGTTACATGCAATAGAATATTATTAGAAAACTGGAAAATCAAAATGCAGCATTCTGAAAAGATGAAAGCAGGATATTTCAGGCTTACCAAAACTGTAAAAAGATACTATGCAAAGCAATTTTTCTTCTTTTAGCATACAAAAAAAATGCAACAGGAAAGAGTTAAAACAAGAAATTCCGTAATTCAGAATTAACAGAGTAAGGTGTTCAGAAACACTGTCACTAGGATGAGATAACCGTTTACAATTTGAGAAAGAATCCACAAGCAGTAGTAGTTTGTAGATTTAGGTTTGCATTCTTAAAATCCAATAATTTATTAACAAAATAAAAGTCAAAAATGTTCAAGGTTCATCTCAAAATCCCATCTCCATCTGGTTTTGAGGGGAGAAAAAAAAATATTATATGTTTGCATTTCTAGTTATCATATTGTTTAGCAGTGTTAGTGGGCCACCATGTATTTAATAGAGATTGTTTTCCATGACAGCAAGCACTTTGAAAGTGAAAACTGAGAAATCAGCTGTGCTGTGTTTGCTTTGTATTTCGTAAGAACGTTTTAGGTAATGTTCAGTGGAAGCTTATGTTATGGTTGGTGTTTGAAATACAGCACAACAGTAGGAGTAAACTTGCCTGAGATTAAAATAAGCTTCTCATGAAAGAAAACAAGGCTTTATTTTTAGCTTGTTGTAAACGTTAGTATTCATGATTGTAGGAATGAAACCTAGATTTTATCTGTTTCTTTCATCTTCTTTTTTTTTTTCTTTCTCCAACAACTGACTCTGAGAATTCTCTCCTGCGGTACCTGAGTGATGACAAGATCTTGGTTATCCAAGAAGAGCCTTTGATGCAGAAAGACAACAAAAAGGACACAGGTCGTAGGTCAAGAAAAAAGGGCAAGAACACAGGCAGCCCAAACTACCCTATTAGTCCATCTGTGCTGGCATCTACTGTTAATGTTAGGCTTGAACCTGGACAGCAAGATGCCTTGAATTTCTCACTAGCAGAAAACAATACAGTTCCACTTTATCATGTAAGTACATAACAAAAAATATTGCTACATAAAGTACATGGAAAAAAACTAAAACTTTTTTTTAGGACTGGTAAAGGTATAGCCTCATGTTTTACATTTTAATACTGTATTTTACATTTTAATTACTGTATTTTACAGTCCATAAAAATTACTTAACTTCCATATTTTGATAGCATTTGCATAAGAACAGTCCGGACAGAATGGTAACATGCAAAGTAGAGAGTGATTGATATCAGATGCTTTAAGTAAAAGTAGTGGTGTTAATTCCTCGAATCTCACTGAGTTTAGCTAAATTTGACCATGTTAGTTTTTCTAAAGTTAAATGTCTCATACTCCTCTGATGATTATAATTAATTATAAATTGGTTATTACATTATATGCCCAGTAATGTGAATTGGATCATTCTGATTAGAGAAAATATTTTGGAGTTAAAGTGGAGAGGATATAATTCAGTGGATTGTCACTAACCTGGAAGCAATAAATCCATAGTAATTATTTTTAATGTATGAAGCTCGCATGTGAATGCCCCGTTCTGGTAACCACCATAAAAAAAAGCACTAGGTTCTCATGAGTGTTGGCTAATGCAGAATTTGGTTGTATTGATTTGGAAGCCCTGAAGTAATGAAAAGCCTTGCAAAGACAGAACCTCTCTATTCATGCTTTGTATGTATGTATTGCCTTTCATGGAAACATTCTTCATGGCCCTAACATTTAGGAACAGACTGCTCCATTCTTTTTTCTTATGGCACAGAGTAATGTCTTCCAAGTGTTTTGTGCCCAAACCGTAATCACTTCAGGGTAGTCGTATTGAAAAATGAGCTTCTTTCCTCCCCACAATCAGTATGGAAGCTTTTCCAGTCATTTTTGTTTTTTCTAAAGAAGGTAAATTTCCTCCTAGAAGATGCAAAAGAAAATGCAGAACTTGTGGGAACTTTCTTCTGACTGACTTGCATTTAAGGCTTCCAACTGATGAATATCTCACTGGGCAAAGTCTTGGGTTGTGATCATATTTACATCAAGTATGAAAGCTGAGTAGAGTTTACCTAAGAGGATGTATTGGAAGCATGTAGCCAGCGATTCATCTCTGTTTCTTGCAAGCTGTCAGCATTTGGCAGTCCAAAGATCAGATACTTTTCTTCTGTCTACAGTAAAAATTAAGTTTCTCTCTGCCACTTGACGGTAGCATTTTTAGAAAAGGTAAAAGAACTCTTCCCCACCTTCAGAGAAAGTCAAGCAGATTATAAATCAAGATTTTGACTGTCCAGTGGCAGTTGTGTCTTGTGATCAGGATCACAAAGTCAAAAGAAAGGTTTTTAAATCCAGAAAGAAAAATAGTAGCTAGTCTACTAGGATGGATGAGAAAATCATTATGCATATTTACAAAAAGAAAAAAAAATCATACCTCTGTAGGCGAAGGGACTGGTTTTATTGAGTTTTCAACAGTGATGACTGTCTGTTGACTCACCTGACCATTTTTGTTCTTCCTATGCCTCATGGGGATGTAGGTGTTTTCTGCCTGAAAAATTAAGAGATCGTGAGACACATATAACACCTGACAGAAATATCCCGTGACAGGAATGAATTATGGGCTAACAAAGCATTTAAACATGGGAAATCATTTTCAGGAATCTTCCTTCTGCTGTGGCAATATAGTCCAGAGGGCTTGTGTATCCAAAAAGTCCTAAGATAACTAGTAATAATTGTATCTATTGTAGCTCGATTTAAATACTACATGGGATTGGCTTTATTCTTGGGATTAAAATAGAACTTTGTTACTGTTGTAAGCATATTGGAAATATTTTCTATTGAGGAAAAGAACATTTCTTTATCACTCTAGATTACTCTGGTATACTCCTTGGCTTTTCCTGACATCCACAAAAAAAGTGGGTTTTGAATCAAAGATCATAGTCTGCTGTGTTTTTAACAACAGCTCTTTTCAGTTAACTTTAGAAAACTATGAAGTTTGTTTTAGTTTGCTAACATGTCTTAAAAACAATTGCCTTTTTCCTAGGAATTTAGGACAGGATTTCTTAGTCAATAAAGTAATTGTTTAATTTTCAAGTTGAATAACAAAAACATCGCAGTATTTAGAGGGAATTGACACTGAACCAGGATGTCTGCACTTCAGTTTGGAATAATTATGTGAGCTTTTAATGAACCTTTCTGAATACTCTGAGAATGAGAGCCTGTCTGGGCTGCAGTTGATGCCTGTTATCTATTTCTTAGATTACAGAAGTATTCCTGGTTATGGTGGGGCAGAATTTGGGAAAGTCTATGGCATATATCTTCCTGATCTTTAAAGAAAGGGAAATGTGTTGTATTGGCCAAGATGCTAATTGTGCCCTTTAAGTTGTTGATTAAGTTCCCTTGGACATGTTCCCACAGTCAGGTTTGCTGACATGCCATTTATTTTTGATTTTCAGAGCAAACTCTTTAAATAAAGTTCCAAGGTGATGTAAACTTCTTGGCAAGGTCAAACAGACAATTACGATTTAATTCAGTTGGACCAGAATTTCATGTTTGGAGTTGGTTAAGAAATTGCCAAATTGAAATAGATTTATTGCCCATCTAGTCTAGCAGTGACTAAAGCCGTAACATCAATTCATAACCGTAACTTCAATTAGAGAAAAATATAGCGCTCACTGTAGTAATTAGAAGTTGATAGTCCTGAAGTAGATATTCCTTCCAAAATAACAGTGGCAGTTCTGAAAACTCTTGATGGCTAATACACACGTATTCACCATGATTTAAGACCTGAAGATGTATTAATTTGCACTCTTTCCATACAGTCATATATGAGCTTTGTGTTTTGTATAGGAACTTGCAAATTACTGTACAAAGAAAAACAACCAGTTGCACATTCCAGAAATACTATTTCATCTTAATGGTCTGCAGTAGTATACTATGTAGTTTTAAATGGTTATTATAGACTCCTTGTTTTATGTGGGTTAGAGTGATTAGAAACTGAGTTCTTCATGTTCTGGCTTTCCTTGTGTAGTAACAGAAATGCAGCAATTTAAAACAAAGGCAATAAACTAGTAATTTGATATCACATGATAACATGATAAAAAGAACTTAATAAGATAGTAGGCCAACTGAAAAGGTGTGAAAGAAATGCAGGGAATTGAAAAAAGAAAATGCTGTGAGAAGAGATAATATTACATGCAGTGGTTGGTCTACCCAAAAAAGGAGTGTTACATAACTCTGTTATAATGTGAAATGATAACAGGACACGTGGCAGACAGTCGTTCATGGACTGACGTAGTGGTATAAATTGCTGTAGCGCTGTAAATGTTCTGAAAGATCTTTTTTGAGACAGGCCTTTGGAATCCTTCAGGAGATAGTTGTAGGAACCAAAATATCCCACTCATCTGGTCAAATGCCTTATAAATATACAGGAGAAGCTGAGTTGATAAATATACAAGAATTGCTGGAATTGCTGAGACAGGTTTTATGGGTTGTTGCCAGTACATTGGTATTAACTCCATCTTTCTGTCCTGAAAAGTAAGACAAAAAGTTGTTTGGCATTTCTGCCCTGAAAAATAGCTACCAGAATGAGTATTTTAACTCTCAAAAAATGCTTAATGGCATTTTGATGTCAAAAGGGAGAGAAGAATAACAGATGGTTGTCTTTCTAGTTAGAAATTTAGGTTTGAGTAGATCATTTCATTTCCTTAATATCTAATTGTGTTAGCAGGATATTCTTAAGTATTTCAAAACATTTCCTTATTTAGATAATGAGATTTTATTCTACTGAGAAATCACTGTACAACCAGTAAGACTGAGGTTAATCAGAAAATACTTCAAAGCTTTACCTAACCAAATTATCAGCCAGGTTTGGTAATGATTCATTTAAGATCAGCTTAAGTTTACCTTGCTCTCCTAGTCTGTTTTTTTTTCTTTTGTTTGGAGGCAGTACTATCAGATGATGAAACTGTTTTTTAATTTCATTCAAAACTACAGAACTATTATGGTCAAATTTGCATATAAATTCCTCTACACCTAACACATGCCCAGAACAACTTCTGGATAGATGAAAATTTCAAACTAGATGTATGGGTATTTTTTTGGAAAATGATGATGATAATATTAAATGTAATCTTAAGCTTATCTTCAGTAAAGGGAAGGTGATAGTGTCTTGTGAGCAAACAGGTGTAGCATGATGAAATGAGAAACTGAGATACTTGCTATCATTTTGCAATTGCTGCTTTTTTTAAAGCATACTTATATAAATATGTGTTTTTAAAAGGCAGTAGCACACATAGACGTAAGTTTTATGAAATTGGTAATTGCATGAATTCACTAGTAGATTAATGCTTTGGAAGCCATATGGATCTGGAACCTAAAATTAAACAATCAAACTGATTTCGTAAGTTGCTGTGAGGCTGCAGTTAGCTATATAAAATGGATATTTAGGTAATGTGATATTGGCAGTATGCCCAGGATATAAAACGATGCACAAAGCCATGCTGCAGCAATATATTACCATCAAGAAATGCTGCTCCTTTCAGGAGGTATTTACAACTGTCATGTTTGTGACCTAAAATTTTTTGGCCTGGATAAACTGTTGTTGTTGTTCTTTAATACATTGTGTCTTTCCTTTAATCTGTTTCTTTAGTTGCTTAAATACTAAAAGTACCTGTTACAACAGTGAAAGTAGAAATTCCCATACTGATAATAACAAATTCCCGTATATTGATTTACCACCTCTTGAAACCAAAAAATGGAGTATCCGTTGTCAAAGACAATATCATTGTCCTAGACATCCTGAAAGTATTATAAAACATAACGTTATTATAATACAGCAAGTCTTAGTGATTTAAGACATTGTTAGAATTTCTGTTTATGGATATGTACTGTGAAAGCTTGTAGGAATTGATTAAATAATTGTTTAGAATAAGTTTGCATTCATGTTCTTTTTTATTAATCCTGTTGATGTGCATTTCTGTGATATATCTCAGCAAATCTGAGGAACAGTCCATTACGATTAACCAGACTAC